GCGGCGACCGCTGCCTCGCTCCAGTCTATCTCGCAAGCAACGCGGAAGCGGTCATCGTGCTTCCGTGGCAGATCAACACCAAGACTGCCCCTAGGGACAACGATGTAATCGAGGCGCGTGGTCGCGCCGGCCTCGGGGCAGCATGGCTGGCCGTCTCCCGCGGGGGCAGAAAGCGTTGGTCGCGGCAACCCGGTGGCCCAACGTGAACTCATTCAGCAGCCCTCTGCAACGACATTCGTCTTCTCTGCAGCCCGCAGCCCCCGCCACCTCAGACTCCACCGAAACGATGGATGAGCTGGCATCCCCGAGAAATAACCCAGGCGATCTCATATCCACCGACATACCCAATTCCTGCCAGAACTGGGCCCCCCCCTTCCAGCGGCGCCCGCGGCGCGGCGCGCGAGCGCCTCGCGCGCGTTGCAGCTCGGCCCGGGGGCCGAGGTGCAAACGACTAGAGCGCGCGGGGCAGAATGCAAAACGCGATTGCCCATCGGGGGAAAAAAGGCCAGCCGCTTTGGCCCGACCGCAAGGCGCCGCGACGTTGGCCCAGAGCTCCGCCCCAAGATCGCGCCCCTCATGCCCCAGGGGGAATGCGGGGCGGATTATCCCGGCAGCGCCTTGTATATGCCCGTCGTTCCTTTCCTCTGGGATTTTCAGCAGGGCCTCCGCGATGTAGGGGAACTGTTTCTAAGCAAAGTTGGGCCTGGGGAGCCTCCGGAGACCGCAGCCCCGCGGTGCTCTTCGCGAGATGACTGAAATTTTTCAGGTGGTGACCTTCATCTGCGCTGCGGTTTTGATTCCGGCCGCGTCAACTTGCTCGCGCAGCGACTGGCATGCCTCTGGGTGAAGCGAAAACTCTGGCATATCGGCAAACAGCTCCCCTCGCCGATCACAAATGGTGAGCTTGGGGCGCGCCCGGGCATCGCGCCGCTGCCTTAACGGCCGTTTCGACTGTCTGGGCGGGAAAGCGCGCGCTGCCCTCGCGCGTTCAAACGCGGGTCAGGAGGGAAGGGCAAGCTGCCCAGCGCCGTCGCTTCAGCAAAGTCGTTCGCAGGGCAGTTCCAGGAATGGCTCGCGCGGGCCCTGGCGCGCGAGACAACATCGCCTGGAATTGGGTTGCAACGGATTTGATCGCGCTGACAAGACCCCGCGAAGGTTGGATATCGGCTGATGGGGGCCTCCCCACCCGACGCTGCCCCGATGGCAATCGTCGGGGCAGGGGTGGAAAACTTGGCAACGTGGCCGAGGCGTCACTAACTATACGGGCGCCCAGATGATTGCGAGAGTTCCGAGCGTGGCACTGGCGCTGGACACCCCTCAGCGGGCCTGGGCGCGCACCCTTCGCCCTTGAGCCGAGAACAACCTTGCCCATGCCCCCCATCCCCTCCCCCGTCGTAAACAGGGGGCCATTCTTGTAGAGCTGGGGGCTGTGCTGCCCGGCCACTCGCTGTGGGCTGTGAGCAGAACTGAAGTCCCAGTCGAGCTTCGCCCCCCAGGTGTCCTGCGACCTCCACCCGGCGCCAAAACGGGCGCCCGAGCTCTGGGTGCAAGCGGTCGCGCGGGGGGGTGGGCGGCGCAGGCAAGTGACATTCTGCCGCGCTGATGTCGCCGGCGAGATTGACGCCGCGATTCCCCATGGTCGGCGCCCATAGGATGCGAATCCAGGATGCCTGGGGCGGGGGGCCCGCGGAATCTTGAGTGGGTTGAAGGCCCGATTAAAGCTGAGCCCCGTGGATGTCGGACGAGGGTCTGGGTGCTCTGCTTTGGGGGGCCCCCGCGCGCTCTGCGCCCGCCCGCGTCGCCGCGCGTGCCAAAATAGCTGCGCCTCGGGCAGTCTGCCCCGCCCCCCCGCGCCCCGCCGCTCTTCTCTCAAAACTTCGCGCACTCGGCGCAAACCAGCGGCCTCCGTCCGAAGCCCGCGAAAGAAAAGCGAGCCGACGCGCGCTGGCCCGTCCGACTCAGCCGTCGATGCAGGGAGGGTGCTCTGCCTGACCCCGCCCTCGACCCTGTCCGTGGCCGGCGGTGGCTCGAGCGAAGCACCCGTCGCTGACGACGCGGACGCAGCCGTCGTCGCGTCTACTGTAGATCGCGCGCGCGGCCAAATTCCACCCCGAGGCTGACCGTGAATTACTGAAAATCGTCGCCGGCGGCCTGGTGAATCCCTTAACCGCCCCGATCTCTCGTGCCGCTCAAAGTGCAAAGTTCCCTCGCCTCGCTGGGAAACGTCGCGCTCCTGTGACAGGGGGTGTCGACCTGTCGCGGCCCCGGCTGGCCTCGCCTTGGCGCTTCCTGCATGTCTGGCAACTTCTGGGGGTGGATCGGTCACGTTCGGGTCCGTTTGCTGGAGGTGGCCCAGGTACCTAGTCGCCCTCGTCGTCGACGCTACTCGAGCGTGGCTCAATACTTGCCCGGCGAATTGCTCGGGAGAGGTTGGGCCCCGCATCTGCGTCGGCGTCGGCGCCCCTGGTGTAAATTCTCTCCGAGGCCGCCCCGAGTCTTCGCGCCGCAATCCCCCTGGCTCGGACCATGTCGTCGCGATGTGCCTGCGCGTGGCAGATCAGATTGCGCTGCGTGCGCGAGACCTGGGACCTTCCGCGCGAAAGCGGTGGTAACTGGGATGTGCCGGTTAACGATATTGGATCTGACTCCATCGTTTGCCCTGGCATATGTGGCGGCGGTCCCGTGCGTCCGCTGCCCGCGTCGCCCGTAACTTGAAAGACTGCCGGCAAACGCGCGGTTGGAAATGCTGGAGCCACACTGCCATTGCCACGCATGGTTGAACATAGCGGCGGCCCACACATGGTTGGAAATACTGGCGCCTGTCGCCAATTGCGGCTGTGGGCCCGCCTGCTGCTCTGGCGGGCCCTGAGGGATCCTCGGGACTTCAAGTGGGATCACGCTGCGTGCTCCCATAAACAATGTCACCACGCCTGGCTGGACGCCTAAACCTGGTTGTCCATCTGGTCCGGGCGATGCATAATGAGCTGAATGTCGTCCGCGATGAAACTGTGTTGCGACAAGTTTGTCGTCAACGGCCCGGTTGCCCTGGGGGCACTTGCAGAGATTGTCCTTGCATTTGCCCTTGTCGTCTGAAAAACCATGGGCGCGTCTGGTGGCGCATCTGCAGCCTGCGGCGTTGTGCGAGCCAAACTCTGCAGTTGCAACCCTACCTCTTCCAAATTCAAGATTGCACCCAGCTCCTGGACTCCGAAATCTGTTCGTCTTGCTCGAGCTCCAACATTTTCAGTTGCTTCTTTTTGTTCGTGGTTTGCCTGAACTTACGTTCTAGTCGTAGCTGTCTATGTCTTGCTTCTGGCACCTGCTGACCAAGCGGTTTGGGCAACGAAAGGCGGTGTGAAAGCATCGCTATTTCCTCCGAGCCGTAGGCATCTGATTTGTCGGGAGATTTGGCTCAAACTGCGAGCTTAGCGAATGTGGGCATCCTGCACTTGGCCCGTTCCTTGCAATTGAAATACCCATCCTCGGAATTGGGGGGGTCCACATGTACCGGTCTGGTTGTGTGTTCGGCCGCCGCGTGTGTGGCGATCCCAACCTGGGAAAGATACGCATCTGCCTGCCTGTGCTGATTGAGCCTGCCTCTCGCAATTGTGCTCTGCGATCGCTCTCGGCGCCTCGATGAGAAAAGCTTGCCACACATGCAGAAACAGTGCCACGGATTGGCATGCTTTCCGAACTGACATACCCATTTCTTTTCCTGTGCGGCCACGCGTTGCCTTGGATTGGCGTGGTGCTGGTCCAGGGTTGGTTTGGCCTTCGAAATCAAAAGAGTTGCACGTGAAAACGTTCATCTTGCCCATTGCCTCCTGTACCAAAGGGGCTCCTTCTGTCTGGTAGGAAGCGCAATGAGTGGCAGAAAGACAGCGCGGCCTGCCGAGGCAGGGCTGGGTTGGCACGGCATGCGGAGTGTGAGTACACCTGCCTCGATCCCCCGTTTTCGTCCAAACGCCTTTCCTTCCTCTCCTCCTTCTCCTCCTTCCTCCCCCTTTTCCCCCCTTTCCCCCCCCCCCCCCTCTCCTTCCCCTTCTCCCCCCCCTCCTCCCCCTTTTCTCCCCCTCGTTTTCCTGAAAGGGGGACCATAACATACCGATACGGCTGCTCCATGGACCTTTGATGGGGCGCAAAATGATCAGAATCTCGAATCCCCAACCTACGCCCTGGCGTGGAGGGCTCTTTAGGACGCTCTAGAAGGCGAAAAGGCGAGAGGGGAAGAAAGGGCATCGGCATCGGCATCTTTTCCTCCCCTGACCCCTTGCTTGACGGTCCCGAAACCTGGTGAGGGCCCCGAGGGGCCAGAAACGATGCAAAAGTTCCGCCTCGATTTCTTCGAGACGCCAGGATGTCGGGGGAACGACCCCTGGGCTGGCTCTTGCAGGCACCTCGCCCCAAATCGACCTACGAGAGGCCCGCGGCACGAGCACAGGCCCAGCGGCCGCGAGCTGACCTCCTCGAACCTGCCACCCTCCCGCGGAGGAGCTGCGGGACGCCGACCATCCCCCGCCCGACGTCTTACTTACCCCTCTGGAGGAACAGAAACGGCATACCGCGACCTCGTGTCGTGTCGACCCCGGCGTTGACTCCTGACACCGCGGGAATGGTTCGACCTTGGACAATCAGCCGCTTCCGAAACGTCAGGTCGTTCAACCTTGAACGCCCGCGGCGGGGTCGCCGTTGGTCGATGCGACGCGAACCCAACGTAAACATACACTTTGGCGCTGAAGTTCGTTTTCGTTTTTGTTTTGTTTTCGTCCTCCCTCGTTCTGTCTTATTTCAGCTTCTGCTTCAGAACGAGATCAAAACGAACACGGCCCACACAATCGCCAGAACACCGCTTAGCCAACGCCCTGCTTTAGAGCACTCACTGGGCTCAGGGGCCTTGTGGGCTCCAGACTCGCGTGAAAACTGGGGGGGGGGGGGGGGGGCACCCCGGAGCACGGGCATTCCTCGAGACCTCCGCAGCAGAGGAGGCGGGGGGCCGGCGCCTTGGCGCTGCCAGTGGACGGCTGCCCGCCGACTCGCCTCGGCACTGCCGACGACGGCAGCGGGGTCGACAATGGAGACGCCGGGTGGCAAGCTTTACCCCCTAGCCTCGGGGATCGCGGAGGCACGGTGAAGGCATTGGATACGAAAACTTCAAATCAAACGTCCAAAACTTAAGATACACTATAAAACCAACTCGGCCTTGGCCATGGATGTCACGGCCGCCCTCGTCGGATCCCCCATCATGCCGGTGGGCTCGGAGCGGGCGTGTCCTCAAGTTTTTTGCCCAATCCCCTGAACCCCATTTTTCAAATCCTCTGGGCCTCACTCCTCAGACCTGAGGAGTCCGGACCCCGAATTCTCAAATCTTCCAGGGTTTGGCGTGCTTCTTCTGGGCCTTGTATCGTCTCCCCGCGTGACTTTCTGGGCCCAAGATGGCTCCAACTCGGTCCAAGATGGGCTCGAGAGGCCCCGCAGACAGTCAAAGAGGGGCCCGAGCAGCATTAAGATCGCTCCAAGACGCCCTGGATGGCCGTAGGACGGCCCAGTAAGCCTCCAGGGCGCCACGAGAGGCCCCCAAGAGGCCTCCCAAGAGGGCACCCCATAGGCAAACTTAAATGGTTTCCATGAGGACTTGTTGTTTCATTTTAAGAATACTCCGACGGCAAGACCCCGCACGATAATCGGTGTAGCTTTCCCCTCGCCTTTTTCTTTTTCGTCTGGCGGAGGTTTCCTTCCGCGCTCCCCGCCCTTTTCCTCCTCCTCGTCCTCCTTCTCCTCCTCCTGTTCCTTCTCGCCCTAATCGTTGCGTTTCTCGTCCCTTTCTTTTTCCGCCTCCTCCTTCTCCTCCTCCAGGTCCAGCCGTTCTGGCTCAGGCACTGCCTGCGCTTGCAACAGCAACTCTTCAGAACGGCACACTGCTGTTGCGGGCCGTTTTGGCTCCATCTTTCCGCAGTTTGAGGGATCTCAACCCTCGGTTTCGCGCTCCATCGGAACAGTTGCCACAACGGCACTTCTGCAATGGCTGGCATAGGCGCTGGTGGCAAGTCCAAGGTTTCGTGGCGCCCATGGCACGCGAACTGGGGCTCGTATGGAGGCAAAGGCGGCGGTCCCGTTCCACCGTGGCGTGAGGCAGAGGAGTGGCCAGTCCTTCGGCCTGGCCCTCAAGCTCCTCGCGGCGATGGTGCTGGGCCTCTTCCTGGCGGCAAGTGGTCGTGTGGCTCTTGTGGGTGCCGCAAGAACAGGCCGTCGTATTTCTTCTGCAAGCACTGTGGAGCTCTTCGGAACGCTCCATCAGGCTCCGCGTGGAATGGGGGCTCGGCCGTGCTCTTCAAGGGTGGCGCCAAGTCTCCAGGTCTTCAAGGCAGCGCTGCTCAGCAGGACCCCAAGCTCGCGGAGCTGCCGGTGGAGGAGCTCGAGTCGTTCGTCAAGATGGCCGAGAAGATGGGCTGGACCGAGGCTGTTGGCAAGGCTCGGGCCCAGCTCGCTGCTCGCTGCGCTCCTTCTGCCCCCAAGCCTGGTCCTGAGGAGCACCTGGCACGCATCCAGCGTGAGCGGGTCAAGCACGGGAATAGGATGGGGAAGGAGCTCAAGCGAATCGCCACGCTGGAGATGCAGCTGGAAGCCCAACGGGATCTGGTGCGTTCTATGGCGTGCGAGCTGGACCAGTTGGACAAGAGCTACGAGGAGACGGCCAAGCTCGTCGCGTCATCCGCGAAGCCAGACACCGTCGAGCACACTGTCCCCACTATCCACCTGGAGGACTTGTTGGCTGGTCGGATTGAGGGTTTCAACATTGAGCTTGGTTCAGTTTTCAACGTGGGCGACGATGACATCAGTGCTGAGGGAATGGACGAGATCAAGAAGCGACGCGACACGCTGGTCTCGCAATTCCACACCACGGCGAAGGAGCTGTCCTCCCAGGCGGCCAGCAACGCCAAGGAGGCCAAGGAGGCTCATGCTGCCCAGACCGCTCGGCTGGAGCAGAAGCGCCGCCGCGCCGCTGCTGGCGATGCTGCTGGTGGGCTTCTCGACGGGCATGGTGGCGCTCCAGCAGCGGGTGCCGCAGCGTGGGATCTTCCTGCCGCTGCCACCGAGGCTGCAGAGCAACCTGCGTCGCCTGGAACACCGCCTGCGCCTGGGGACTCTGAAGCCATACTCGCACGGGTCCGTGCAGAGGCCGCCAGAATCAAGGCTGCACAGGCCCCCCATCCCCCTTCCCCCCCCCCCCCCCCCCCCCCACACACACACACACACACGCACACACACACACACACACACACACACACACACACACACACACACACGCACAACAACTCCCTGAAGTCGCGTCGTGTCATGCGGAACCCAGCTGCGGGGGGGATCGCCAGCCAACTTTTTCAAGCTTTAACTTTCCAAGGAACTCTTTGGGCTCAGCGAGGCCCTGGTCGGGAGCCCGCCTCTCGCCCCTGCAGTGCGCCGGACTTGTCGAAAATTGGGCCAGGACATCGCAGTGCGCTGCGAGAGCCGTGGAGGAGGATCGCTCCTCATCGGCGAAGGTGCAATCCAGGCCTTGTGTGCAGTCCCTGTTGCCTGGAGCAGGGCACCTCTCGGCTTTCGGTTATCCTCCTAGCCATCCCACCGCCCTCTGCGAGGCAGCAGGTCCGATGGCCAACGGTCTGATTCCGAAAGCCACGCTGCTGCCAAGGGAAGTTCAGTCCCAGCAGGCTAAGGGGGATATCGACAAGCTGTTGAGCGATGGCACTTGCACTTTTAAGAGTGGATCGGACTCATCCAGGCTTCGTGTGCAGTCCCCGTTGCCCGGAGTGGGGCAAGTTAAATCCAGGCAGCACGTCCAGTCCCCTCGGCCTGGTGAGGGGCAACTCTTCTGCAATTCAAGAGCTGCCGCTCCGAGCCATCCTGAGATTCCCGAGCCCCCCCCCTGGGTGATTTCCCCTTAGTGGTTGAAACGGTCAACGGCAATGCGCGGTCGTCAGTGAAGGAATGGTTGCCTCAGTGCACGGCCCACGTCTTCTTGATCCAGGAACGCAAACTCCTGGCGGGAGATCAAACCTCCCGAGCTTCGCGGTGGTGTTTCTCGCAAGGTTGGAAGTCGGTCTGGGCCCCTTGCGCCCTTGGAGAGGGGGGGGGGGGGGCGTCGTCTGGGTTGGCCATCCTCGTTCGAGCCTGGAGGGGACTGATCGAACCCTTTTGCCACGGCTCTATTGCATGGCCCCATCGGGCCGTTGCGGCTGTTGCACAGCCCGCCAGAGGTCAGTCCATCTTTGTCCCCCCCCCCCTCTACCTGGAAGATTCTGTGGGAATGGGCAACCACAATCTCGAGGTCCTGGGAGCTCTCGGGGCAGAGCTGACGGTGCTGGGCCTTCCCTTCACCGTGGGAGGCGACTTCAATAACGAGCCTGATCTGTTGCATTGCACCGAGTTCGCCAGCAACTTGAAGGCCCAACTTGCGTCGACTTCGGGGCCTACGTGCTTCGGGACGGGGGGGCCTAAATTCTATGACTATTGTGTGATATCTGGGGGTCTGGCTACAGCGGTTCAGACGGCCTCGGTGAATGACTCGGGGGCTTGTTTCGTTCCGCATGTTCCTGTCCGTGTCCAGTTTTCTGCCTTGGCCAACCTGCATGTGTTGTCTTTCAGGAACCCCCCTCCGATTGCTGTGGATCCCCCTTTCGGTCCTTCGCCCCAACCTCTGGACTACAGTAAGGTTTTTCCGCTGATGGACAAGGCTCGAGTTCGGGCCTTGAGGGGAGATTCCGACGTTTTCGATTCGATGTTGGCTGCGTGCAACAAGGTTTGGTCCCAACACTGCGGAGCGGGGGCTCTGGCAGAGTGATGGGGCTCGGGGAAAGGGGGTGGCCCTCTGGTGGCGCCCCGCCCTGGGGCGGGGCCTGGGCCCCCCCCCGTTGTCCTGAGCTCCACGGCATGAGATGGTTAAACTCAGCTCTCCACCGCCTGGCGAGGTACACTAGTTCGGCACACACGGGCAAGGAGGCTCGTGCTCTGGCCCGAAGCCTTGCGCAGTCCTCCCCACCCTGGTCAGAGACAATCGTTGTGACCAAGTGGTCCTGTTAGACAGTGTGGCTGGCGTCGCTCGGGCCTGGCTGGACGGGACCTCCGCGGACGTTCTGGGTCGAGAAATGGATGCCATCGGTGCAAGGATCCAGGAGGCCCTCGAGGCCACCAACACGAAGTTCATCTCTCGGGCTAGAAAGGACTGGGCCGTCTGGCTCTCTGAGGGTATCACTCAGGGCGCCAGAAGAGCCCACCAGGTTTCCAAGGGCCCCGCGGCTTGGAGGCCGACGAGTACGCTGAGCAGGTTCGGTTCCTTGGTCGCGGATCCTACTGAGCTCCTGTGCGCGGAAAGGACCAAGTTTAGGAAACTGTGGCACGCCAGCTCCCAAGCTCCCAAGATTAGGCTTCGCTCCCAGGATCCGCTTCCTGCCATCCCTGTCGAGACGATCAGAGAGATCTCTCGGAGTTTCTCGCGTAGGTCAGCTGTCGGTCTGGACGGCTTCCACATGAGGCACTACCAGTTCCTGGGCGATGATGCCCTTCGTTGTTTTTTTCTGAGCTCTGGGCCCTGGTGGAGCTGTCTGGGGGGGTGCTTCCTAGTCAACTTCGGGACCTCATTGTGGCCCTGATCCCGAAGGAGGTCCCTGGGTTTCGCCCCATCGGGGTTTTCTCTAGCCCCTACCGTCTGTGGGGAAGGGCTCGGCGCCCGATCGCGGTGTCCTGGGAGGCCCAGAACGATCGGCCCTACTGGGCTGCTGGGAAGCACCGCTCGGCGACAGACGTGGTCTGGAGGCAGGCCATGCGAGCTGAGACCAGCACGGCAAGAGGCCGTCACGCAGGCGCAGATTTTTGGGATATGCTGAAGTATTACGAGCAGATTCCCTTAACGCTGCTCGAGCAGCGTAGCCTCAGGCTTAATTTCGATCCTGTGGTGTTGCCGGTGTGCTTGTCGACGTACCGATCGGCGAGATGCATGGTCTTGTGCGGGGTGGTTTCCCCTTCCCAGTGCGCTTCCTTCGGTGTTG